ATCCAATATACCTGCTGTCCTACCTAAAAGGGGAAATTTGGGCAGACACACATGCAGGGAGAATGCCATGTGTAGACGAGAACGGCCATCTACAAGGCAAGGAAAGAGGGAACAGGTCTTTCCCTCACAGCCCTCCGAAGTAACCGACACTTAATCCCCGGACCCTGGAACGCTAGCCTCGAGGACGGACACAACAAATCTGTTGCTGGTCGTCTCCAGTTTGTGGTACTGTTAGGGCGGCCCTGGCAGCTAATACACGTCTTAGCAGAAACTGCTTCTGACCTTAGACAGTAAACCTGATCCAGCCTTTTTAAGGACTGGATACTGTGGTGCTCCTCCAAGGTTTCCCGCAAGGCCCATGGGACTCATGCCCCCGCCCCGGAATATCAGGTGCGTCTGAAGACTCACAGTTGCAGCTAATGGCTTCATTCTTCACTTGGAATTGGCTCATAACATTGTCCAGAGAATCATCCCTTGCCACAGGGAATTGCTCACCCAAACTGAGGTCTTGCACAATGTGGCCTATAACCAGCGAACGACTGGCTGATACTGGGATACAAAGTCGCAGCCCCCACCCTTCAATTCGCTGTAACTGAAAGGCCATCCTAGCTCCAGAACTACCCCTATCATCAGCTGGGGCCTCCTTTCGAACTGCATTGTGACAACTTCCTCTGTCCACTCCTGCCTCCCATCTCCCAAGAACACTTCCAACCAACATTCTGCACGTGGCTGTGCATCCGGGAAACCCAATCCGAAACGACGACGGAGGCTTATCAAGTGTTAGGCTCAAATCTCTGCTCTGACATGTTTTAGCCGTAAAAATTTCAGGCAAATTCCTTAACCTATCTTCGTATCCCATTTCTTCAAATGCAAAAACAAGGAAGTTAGAGAAAGTCTTTAGGACACTTACAGCTTCTCATTTTTGTGTCATAGAACAGTGTCCTGAGGTTGCGGAGATGTGGGGCCTTGACTACATAGCTTAAGGCTACGCTTTTAGTTCCAATCCTTTTTAATCTGTTCAATTGCCACAGAATTGCTGCCACTCAAATGTAGGGTTACGGATAGCTACCGCTTGAGTGTTATCCGTTATTATCCTTTTCAACCCTACTCCCTCCTGAGAGGTTTTGAAACTGCTTTGTTCCGAGGTGATTGGTTTTATTAGGGATCAATGTGAATATGAACTTCATGGCTCCTAGTATTTTTGTTTCTAGAAACACTAGTGAAAGCAGAACCTGACAGCCAGTTTTATCAAGCTCAGGATCATACAGAAACGCGTATTCCTCTAATATTTGCCAGCTACCTCAATTCGCCAAGTTATGAGGCACACCCATCCACAACTACGGTTACTTCCCCATTTCAGATAACCCTTCTCCCACCTGCAACCCTTCGGCTTCCTCAAACCCTGGCTCTTCTTCAAATGCCGCAGTGATCGTCCTACTTAGGTTACGTCTGAACTATTATGTGTAAAACTATCCTGAGCCAAAATCAAGAATTGGATGCTCGACTAAGCCATCCAGGCACCCCAAGTGTGTTGCATCCTTGTAGAATTAGAGGAAACTGAACTTGGAAAATGCTCTTGGTTCACTTCTGTTGAGAACCTAAGAGTGAAGAAAAATCTCTTGAGAGTAGCTTTAAAGTCATGAAGAGTTAAATGTTAAGGGACAGTCTCCAGATAAAAGATACTGCACCCTTACCTTGGAAATTAAAAAGTTGCCAAAGGGAAAAATAGACTTGGAATATGGAGCTGAGACCTTCTAGAAAGAAAGCAATTTGAGACACAAAATTGAGGAGAGGAAATCAATAAAATCCCGAGAATTAAAATTCCTAACCTTGAGTCCGAAGTCGTCTTTTCTGCATACTGCTAAACCCTGAGGTGGTGTCAAAGTTGTAGGCATAGGCACACGCCAGATAGCCTGGCACCATTATTTAGGGAAAGCTTTAAGTTATCCAGGCCTAAATTTAATCTGAATAATATCCTACTAAGTTTACTGCAAGATTTTCTTCTGCACTCTTACAAAACCTTTTGGGGGGGTGGTGAACACCAATGCACAATCACTTCATTGGTCAACTGCAGGTTAACTTTTCAACTTCCCGTAGTTAAATCAGTAGTAATCTTCTCACTAGGTCATCAACTGCAAAGGGTGTTAAAAGCCATAAGCAGTGTTATGGTATAATAAGGATTGGAATGACCATTTAACGATGAAAATCCATTTGAAGCTGAAGTCAAGATAGGTCAAGGGATTCAAGAGTTAAGAGATGGCTCTTACCTGCTCCAAGACAACACACGAAATGAGCATCTTGGGTAGACTAAGCCCTCTATTCATTGCCATTAAAAAAAATGTCTGCCCAGTCCATTTTCAGCAGATAAAACCTAAATCCTTTAACTGCCCAACACTGGACAGAGTGCCTGGAGCAGCTGTGTGTCCCCCTACCTATACTGCACTCTGGGTGAAGACAAAAACTGTGATTAAGAAACATGTAACACCGACAATCTGTAGTAAGCAAAGGAAAAACAAATTCCCTCAACACATTTAAGAGTAGGCACGGCTACTTTCAAGTTAACTTGCCCAAATGGATGATCACACATTGCCAGAATTTCTTCAAACTTAAAATGCTTTCCTATTTCTCTACTTTTGAAACCCCATCCTGAAATAGCAACGAAGAGCTAGGGAAAAAATCTAATCCAAACTATCCTTAACAAATTTGACTGCAATCCCAGCAGAGGAAAAGGCTTCAGAAATCGTAACTTACTTTTGCTATCAAAAGACGATTTTTTAAAAAGTTTTGTTATCCTAGGCTAGGTTTATTCTCATTATAAAAGTCCGAATCTGCAAATAGACCATTCTTTTATTGTGCCTTCAGGATGGACAAGACAGGAATTATAAAGTATTTGTAGGGTTTACTCACAACTTGAACATGGAAGACTATGGATTTTTCTCCTCTTCTATTTTGGTCAATTAAGCAAGTATTCTTACTATACAGTTGGTCAAGTTGCCAATAACAAAAGAAAATAAAAAGTCCCCAAAAGGGGACAAAAAATGAACAGTGGCTTTTTAACCACAGTACTTCCAATGAATGTTATCAGTGCCCACCTTTACTTGGTATCTAATTTATATCAATTTCATTTAGTTTTCAGTTTAAAATTATTAAGAGGCTGGTGAATTAATGGATCTATCTAGAAAATGCGGTCCTGGAAACATATTAGTGCTCACATATATACTAACTTAACCAAAATTCCTTATGTAATGCCCAGAATGTTACCAGATTTGCTACTTTAAAATTAAGATTCTGGAAGAAAAATTGGAAGTTAATAATATCCAGAGTTAAAACGCAGAATTAACTCTCTTTCACAATAGAAGCCAAAGTAAAAAAACATGAGGAATAAAAACATTTTATCTGTGTATTCAGAATCACACACAAATTACCTTTACAGTTCAATTTACTATATAGAAATCATTTGGGTTTTATATTTTCCGTTAAATTCTGAACTGAGATTACAATATTGTTTAAAAAAAAGATTGTTACATTAATTCAGTACTTTTTAGCATACCAAATTGAAATACATTTAGTTCAAACTTCAGATTACGGCAAACAGTCTTCAAATACAATACAGACATTTCTTAAGGTTACCATTTCATTCACATGTGGTATTTGCCAACTCTGAGCTGTATATACAGAACAGCTCCCCTGTGAATATGGCGAAGTTGACAAGCCATGAAGCTCAAAGTTGTAAAGTCAAGCCAAGAACTCAAAGCTGTACCATCTTGTAGAAGGTCTGTCATTTCTGGACCACAAAACACAACATGTAAAGAAGGTTGGGAAGAATTCCTCCTCTTTATTACGGTTAAAAAAAGTTGCATGTAGCTTGGAACTTTGCATAAAACCCCATATTATGCCTTGGTAAAGTCCAAGGGTAATTAGAGGACAATGGACTGGGGTCTCAAATTTAATCAATAGAACCCATGAAATTCAAATGGGCATCAATCAAATCAAAAAATATTAAGCACCTACTGGTTTAGAGTGAAATTTATTAGAGATTCATGATCAATTTCTTTCCACCTTGAAATCAAGGTGTAAAAACCAGCTATTAAGTGCATTCCAAACTTCTCCTATGTAGCACAGGTAGAATTTTCTGTCCATTGGCACCAAAGTGAAGTCACATTTCCTCTTGGGAGACAGAAATTCCACATCTGAACATAGAGTAAGTTAGGAAAAAAGGACCCCTGTTGTTTATATTTTATTACTATTGTGATTCTGAGATCTAGGATTACTAATATACTAGCAGTGAACAACGTAAACGCCTGGCAACAACTGTCAGGTTAGTAACGCTAACTCCCTTCCCCCAGTCACAAAGTTTTAGTATGAAAAGAATTAAAATTACTAAGCTGAAAGGGAAAGAACAAGGAATGAAGAGTTAACTAAAACAAACTCCTAAAGTTTGAAATCATTGCAATTGAGAAACTGAGAACAGGTGTGCTTCACCCCACCCCCTTACAACTCTGAATTTAAATAATGTTCCGTGCAAAAGAGCATCAGGTTTCTGGATATAGATGTAGCCCTTCTTTAAGTTTTAGTGCGCTGCAGACTTCTCTGCAATTTTATTTCCCTCCCCCCAAGTTTACTCAAAGTATTTAATAGAGTCTTCCATTTCAGCCAAAAGATTTGTAATTCAAAGATTTACTAAGGTATTCTATGCATTCTATCTATACAGAAACACCTATTATTACAATTGGCTTATGCAGAATTAACATTTTTGGTGTTAAAATTGTTAAACATCATGCTTACTGCACATCAACTCTCCATAATGAATCTGAACTTCACAATGATTTACCAAACATTTTACTTAAATTACTAATTAAATAACTGAAAAAAATGTACTGAGCCAAACTAAACTTAAATGGGATATAAAGGGAGAAAAAAAACACCTTCAAACAGTCCATATACACATCTATTTCAAAACTACCTTTGCTAGCTAGCCACTTTCCCAAAGTTTTAGCCTGAAAAAAAAAAAAAAACCGTAAAATCTACACAAAATTTTATTGCAATCATACAAGGGTTACATTAGGTCAAATACAACAAATACTATGATGCAATTTTACATTTATTAAACTACAGTTCAAAGCACAAATTTACACACTCTAAATACACTAAACGCATCTAATGAAGTCACACTGGTCCTCCACTGACATCTGATATATCTGGGTGAAAGACATGAACTTTACAAGACTTTTTAACATGAATCCTTAGTATAAAAACTGTGTACTTGTATGTAAACGATTTAATGGGGAACCCAATTAATGGGCTTCCATCTCCACTAAGTCATCCATTTTGTTGCATATTTTATTTTAAACGCTTAAGGGGTAGGACAAACTGGTAAGTTTAAATCTGGATACATTATCTAAATCTCCCAAATACCCCCCCCCCCATGAATTATAGATGAAAGCTGATTTCGTCTGGTCCCAAACAGCTATTACTAATAGATTTTTTTTCCCAAGAGAATTAACAGAATAAGATTGAATTTGTTTCACACTGGAATGTAGACCAGACAAGCTTAACCTGCAACTTCAGATCTAGAGAAGCATTAATGCCTGTTTAAGCTTCAGAGGAAAAGCCATCTCCTTGGCTCAGCTGAATGCAAGAAGGCACAAAGAAGAAGTTCTTCATCATTGTGTCCGAAGTAATTCCAGCATCCTGCATCTCATACCTAACATTAAAAAAAAAAAAAAAAAAAAAAGTATAATTCTAAATTAAGCACAAAGACCATGTAACAAATGGACAGGACTATAAAAGTGACTGGTCTTCCAATAACCCTTACCAGAGGAGCACTCTGCTGTTACATGTTAGGCATTTATTTGTTACAGGACTAAAATCATCAGCAAACATCTTAAGTCATCTTAAGTATCCAACCACCTTGAAAATGAAATCAATACCTTACCAATCACTGAATGACATCATGTAGTAAATTGTCGGCCTCTGACAATCATTAAAAGCAGATGGTTCATGGAGGGAATCTGCTCCCATGTTATCAAAGATAAGCCAATCTCCTACATTCAGCTCAGGAAGAAGACAGTTTTCCACAATTTGATCAAGCTCATCACAGGATGGACCCCAAAGGCTGCTTGTAAACAGAGGCTCATCTTCCTTGTATTTCTGTAGGAAAAGGTTTTTTTTCATTAAATTTTTTACTTGTGTTCATGCAGGTAATTAATTTGAGGGAGGACAAGAGCGTTTTTCACTGAATCAGACCCAATGTGCCTATGAAAGGCAGGCCTAGAGCCAGGGGCACTGGTGCTCCTTAACTCCGAGACGGGCAAACCCTCAAACGAGGGCAATATTCCCCATCCTAAAGTATTTCTCCAAAAATTGGGATGCATCTTAAAAACAAAAAACAAAACAAAACCCCCAAAAGCTCAGTTTCATAAACGGCCAAATAAGCAGTTCTGGTATTTATGATAAACTTGCCTTGTGAACCTCTGGAATGGTATTTAAGTCCTCAGACAGTTTACTTGCAAAAGAACCATAAACACCATCATTCATATAATACATGAAGGCTGGTTCATCACTTCCGGTTTTTTCTACTGAAAAAGCAGAAAAAATAAAGATGAATTTATACTGAAATGTCTAATATAGTTATTATGCAAGGCATAGCAAACAGATTGAATATTTATAGAACATAGTTTGCACATTTCCCAAATATTTCAAGTAATTAAAAAAATATATACTGACATTCCTTAAAACTGTTACCCTAAAAACTGAAAAAACATTTCACACAGGAAGATGACCAATAAACACACGAAAAAAGTTTGCTACAGAAGTTACCAGGTAAATAAATTAAAACTATAATGAGCTATCACCACCACACACCTATGGAATGGAGAAAATTAAAAAGTGGCAATACTAAAATATCCGTGAAAGTGGGGAAACAATCAGAACTTGCACATATACCCCTCCAGGGGGAGGATAAAATAACCACTTTGAAATCTTTGAAAATATCGATCTACTCTGTGACCCGGCATTTCTGTTCTTATTTTCTCCAGTGAAATGAAAAATGTCCATAAGACTTACACAAGAATGTTAAGCTTCATTCATAATAGCCCACAACTGCAAACAACCAATTATTTATTGCCAAGGAGAATGGGTAAATTGTATGTTCACAGTGGAGTATCAGTACTGAACATGAACCAAAGTAGTTCAGACATTATACTGAGCTGTCCTAAAATACATGCTAGATGATTCCATTTATATGAAGTTTGAGGACAGCCCAAACCAATCTACGGTGGAAAGACCATCATAGTGGGGGCTATCTGGCAAAGGAACAAAACTGGGAAAAAAATTCTAAGATATGAAATTTATGTTTTTAGAGGAATGTTAATATTGGACTTCATTATTTGTCAAATCATATACTTAAGACTGTGCTCAATGTATAAAAAGGACATGTCAGGCGCAGTGAGCACAATCAATACTCTTCTTGGTTTTTAAAATACCACTCTCCGTTAAAATGGACTGAAGCTCTTTGGGAAATGGCAAACTCCAGATCTGAGGCAGGTAAAGAAGAACCTTGAACATCTATATAATGCTTTATTGTGTAACAAATTAATGATACATGCCCATTAGGAATATTAGAAAATATGTTGTAAGCAGAATGAAAAATCAAAACATTCATATTACTACCAACCAGTGATATCATTTTACATATATTCTCTATTTTTTGAAATGTAAATTTGAATTTTTTAATAGTTTATTGTCAAGTTGGTTTCCATATAACACCCAGTGCTCATCCCCACAAGTGACCTCATCCATGCTCATCATCCCTCTCCCCCTCCCCCATCAGTCCTCAGTTTTGGAACATGTATCTTGATGTACTATTAAGTAAAGAACTGCTCAGGAAATAATGCAGACAGGCCAAAAGGACCCAAATTTTGGGCAGTAAATAATGAAAAGTAATAGATTACATAACCTATTTAATAAATATCTAGGAGTCTAAACTAATATAAATAGGTTGGTAGGAAAAGAAAGCTATTCTTTTAATTTTTTTTTTTTTTTAAATTTCTGAGGTGGGGGGGCAGTGTGAGCAGGGGAGGGTCAGAGAGAGAGGGAGACACAGAATCCGAAGCAGGCTCCAGGCTCTGAGCTAGCTGTCAGCACAGGGCCCGGTGTGGGGCTCGAACCCACGAACAGGGAGATCATGACTTGAGCTGAAGTCAGACGCTTAACCGACTAAGCCACCCAGGCGCCCCTAGAACAGGACTTTCTACATTTTTTTAAGGTAATACTGGTCAGCAAGACGGACTGACTACAGTGCCTTTTTGTTGGTTTGACAAGAGACTAAAGATTTAGACTGTTGGCCCTTTTTATGAAAGAGAGCATAGGGGCGCCTGGGTGGCTTAGTCGGTTAAGCGTCCGACTTTCGCTTAGGTCATGATCTCGCGGTTGTGGGTTCGAGCCCCGCGTCGGGCTCTGTGCTGACTGCCAGCTCAGAACCTGGAGCCTATTTCAGAGTCTGTATGTCCCTCTCTCTCTGACCCTCCCCTGCTCACGCTGTCTCTTCTCTCTCTCTCTCTCTCCTAGAAATAAATAAAAATATTAAAAAAAAAAAAAAAAAAAGAGCATAAAGCAGATTGTCTCCCATGAGTAAAAGTACCATGACAAGAGACACTCCAATAAACACCGGTTCTCACAGGATAGGAGAATCAATCAGCTGGGGAAGCTTATCTAAAATACACGTATCCTAACAGCAGAACCAAGAGGTAGATTCAGGAGGTCCTTCCCAACACATACCATCCATGTCCTACAGTATTTTACACTTGACTAGTATCTGATCATTTCAATTAGTTTGTAGATGAATTGATCTAACAGAAACAAAACTATAAGGGGGAACCTGGGTAGCTCAGTTGGTTAAATATCTGACTTCGGTACCGGTCATGTTCTTACTATTCGTGTTTTTGAGCCCCGCGTCCAGCTCTCTTTCAATGCAGAGCCCGCTTTGGATCTTCTGCCCCCACCTCTGTCCCTCCCCCACTTCTACTCTCTTCAAATGGGGGGAAGGGGGACTATAAACTTTGTAGCTTACCTCCAGAGGAAAATTTGTCATTTTCAACAACCTTCTTGGCAATGATATTAACTGCAAGTGTAAATGCAGAAGACACATAGTAGCTTCCAGGTTCTGAAATTATCTTAATGCCAGATCCTTCAGGAAAGTAGACATCCAACAAAGGGCTGATAACATGATTAACCTATAAATTTGAAACACCACATTATGATTTCAATATTGAATTACTCTAACACTAGCAATAAAAGAGCAAAACTTCAAATCAGCTTCTTAGTATTATAAAATGAGGGATGGAGGGCAGAGCAGGAAGGTGAGTAATAATGTACATCTGAGTAAAATAGCTTAAACTATCCAAATTATAAATTCGCTTGTGCCATCAAGTACCCCTAAGAGTAGAAACAACTGTATACAAACTTATTGTAAATATGTTACAGAGTTCACAGAATTTTATTAAGCTTTTCAAAGTTAGATAGGGACTTCCCATTGCCTCTTCATCTTAGAATCAAATTAAAAATTTTTTAATGTTTATTTTTGAGAGAGAGAAAGAGAGTGGGGGCAGAGAGAGGGAGACACAGAATCTGAAGCACCTCCAGTTTCTGAACCCAGTGTGGGGCTTGAACGCATAGACTAGAAGATCATGACCTGAACCAAAGTCAGACACTTAACTGACTAAGCCTCCCAGATGCTGCAGAATCAAATTTTAAACAGATGTTACAGGGTTTATTTCCTGCCATTGCTAAACTCTAGTCTACATCTAACACTGTAGTAAAGAATGAGATTATTCCAGGGGATCCATCCACTGAACAAAGTTTACCTCTTCCAACTGAAATTCAGATCCTGTGAAGCCTCCACCAATGTCTAACATGTTCATTGTGAAGCCAAATTCTCCCTAGAGATAGGAAAAATACTTTAAATGCTTATCTGAATTGTAAGCTACAAGGACATTTCAAACACACCTTCCCAAGGAGGTTAATTAGATCTGTTCTAATCTTTAGTATAGAAAGTGTTTTGGTCTCTACTAACAGAAGCAGGTTTACTCAATACTAAGTGTGTGAGGTTTTCCTGAGGTCTGTCCTGTCTTGTAGCCACAGACAAATAAATTACGATTTCATCTCTTTACCCATTAAAAAATGTGACTGTATGGAATGGATTATAAAAAACGAGGCAGATATCTTAAGTATATGAAGGTACTTCAGGGGTAGTAAAACAATGAATATTAGTCTTAAATAACATCCTGCCTTAAAGTATCAAAATGACATAAAAACTTACAGCCATGTCAAACACACATCGAGCATCAGACAGAGCATGTACGTAGACTTGAGATTCTTTGCAAGTGCTTGAAACATGAAATCTGGAAGAAGTGTAATAAATTTAAATCAATAGCAAATTTTAGAAGTCCTTCCTGTAATTGTTTTTAGTTCTCATTTACCAGACTGACACCGTATTCACAGTAATATTACCAAATATTTAAAGAATTGGAAGCACACGCCTCTAATTATCCAAGTAATAGCAGTTTTTAAAAAATGCCATGTATGGCACCGTAATTTTATGAAGAATTTAACAATGAGCTCTGTAACTATCAGAAAGAAGAGGCTTTTATGTGTATGAAGTAACAAACATCACCAATAAAACTTGGTCACAAAATCTTTGAATGTACAATTTTATCTGACAAAATATAAAACTGTCTACTGTGAAATATAAATGTACATTCAGCTGAGTATTACTAGACTCGTTAATATTACTTATTGAGAAATACTTATCAGAGATTCGTAACAGAATACTTAAGACTATGGCAGTGGTTACACGAATCTGTTAAAATTCATATAAAGTATAAAACCAAAAAGTCAATTTTCCTGCATGTTAACTTAAAAAACAGAAATTTGAAAACTCTCAAATCAGTCAATATTATCACCTAAGGCAGAATTAAACTTAAAGATGGATAAAGAATCACCACTGTTATGAACAACTGAAAAAGCAAGACCTTGCCTAGCAATGGACTGGCAACTCAAAAAATGTGCCACTTTGTGCTCCAAATTGGACTCAAACCATAGTTCTGAGATTATGACCCAATCATTAAATCTCTTTGGGGCTCAGTTTCTGCATACTTAAAAATCAAGAAGGTAGAACAATGTCTGATTTACTGGAGTGCCCAAGAGATTAAGAAGGAAAAAAATTTAAAGATGGGAGAAAAATAAAAGTACACAACTCAAATGAATGTCATTTAGGTATTCATTAGAATTCTAGTACATCCTCTCCCTTTAGTTTAAAAAAGAAGGGGGGGTGTTAAATTACTAACCTGATTATGATTTTATCTCTTAGGGAAGGGGAAGGTATAGGCACAAAATTATATACAGAATAAAGCATATTTAGTTGTTTTTCCTAGACTAAGGAAAAAAATCTCTAAACTGAAAGCTGAATCTATTAGAGTTCATGCAAAAGAAGTCTTAAAAATCAACTAGAAAGACAAAGATTTATCACCATAAAATGAAATTTAAAACAAATACTCACTTAACCCCAATAATTTGGACATCAAGTTCCTTAGCACATTCCAAGAGATGCCTACAGTTCTTCAGGGTAGTGCCAAACTTCATGTTACCCTCTTCGCCTCCAATATTATCTTCTGTTGCAATATGTAGTAAGACCCTAAGAGAAGGGGAAGATGATTGGGGCAGAGTTGGTTTACATCATCATCAGCACATGTGAAGCCTGAAGATTGTAGGAAGTATGTTGATTATGTTGCCAGTGCTCCCAAATCCAGCGACGGTTGAATCAAGTGAACCTAATGAAAAACAATCCTGTATAGAGAAAAAACTAGCCATTAGGGCCTAAAGCATGAAGCTTTCAAGGATGGGAATTTGGAAAATGCAGGAAGTTAAGACTCTGTTGTAGCAGCAAGAGTCAGTTGGGCTCTGTAATGAAAGACGACATTACTTTCAAATGAAGTCCATCAGTCCATAAAATCACCTAGAAAGACTAAATTGAACAGCAATGCCATCGTTGTCTTTCAGTTAAAAATATCAGGGCTTTAAATGTTTCATTTCCTAAATTGTTCCAGCTACCTAACTTTCCACCACTTAGTCTTAGAATACCTATCCATCTCATACATCTTACCAAGAAATTGGCAAACACACAAGTTATTTTATGCATCTGTTTAACAGCAGCCTTTCAAATGCGGATTCAACTCTATTTGGTATTTCCCTCTAAATGACAACAACCAAGACACAACGATCATGACTGTTACTTGAGGAGACACTCAAATAATTACAAACCACTAAAACCCACAAATATACAAATGCTGTTTGTAAAACTGTTTTCCCAAAGAAGTCTTGATGAATGACTGATAATGAGAGGAGCCAAGTCTGATAAAAGCAAAATTATTCTTGACAGTATCAAGAATGTACCATCCACTTTATAGTTTACACAGTAAACATCCCAAATCAGGGCTGTCTTCAAAAGATCACAGAACAGAAGATTTTTTAGAGAGACCAACTGGTTCACTAGCATTTTCTCCAAAAGGGCTTTATTCAAAGGTTTTTAGAGTAATCAATCCTGTCAGGACACCTAAGAATACCATTAAAGTCAATTAAGAAAATTATAAATCTACAAGGAAAATATGGATATGATGCACATTCGCAGGACACACTCAATGCATTAAAAACAAGCAATTTTGTACCAATACAATATACTTTTAGTATATCCTACAATCTTCTTGATGTACCAGTTTGTGACAAGATTAAATATGCCTTTTGCTTTTAAAAAGTCAACATTTTAATTAAAAAAATCTTGGGATGCATGTTAGGTACAAAAAAAAAACCCAAAACAAAACAAAAAAAACCTTCTTGTGCAAAGAGAAGAGTGGGCCTTAGAAAACAAACCCCTCAAATCTACAGACTAGACTCCTAAGATACTGTCACTAAGGACACCCATTTAAGAACTACAGCCAAAGGCAGATTAAACCCTCAGCTAACCAGGAAAAAAAGCTGGCCAACACACAGCTTGTTTCCAATATGACAAATAACTAGTAGGGTTGATGTGATTATGAAAATACAGCTGTGGTCTTCATTTTAATATCCTAAGAACCCCATTTTCTTCCTTGAATTCAAGATTAAAAATTCATATTCCAAACTGTCCTGATCTCCTCCCAACTCTACAAGAAGGATCAGATGTGGCCAGCCAATAAAATATATTCTTCCATATACTAGCATTTTCCATATAAGAACTTTAAAGAAGTTAAAAAAATTTATAACACACATCACTACTCTACATAAACGTTGCCTTTTCCCAAGCCAAAGACAAACCCAAACCCTAAGCAGTAAGATAATACTCCCATGAGTTTTACACTTACTTGGCATTTGGGTGATTACGTGCAATTTTCTTCAATTCAACTTCATTGTCACACGTCATGATGTTCACTCCAATTTTTGCTGCATACTTTATTTGAGACACTTGCTTGCAAGGACTTATGTAAATGATGTTTTCTGGAGATACACCCAATTCTTGCACTAAAGCCATTTCAGTCTATAAAAATACATTTTAAATAGTGTCATCTAAAAAGCAAAAATTTTATTACCCCTTTTCATTCAATTACTACTTTCTAACTTTTATTTTTTAGCTAACTTCAAATTATATTAAGTTGGCATTGCATAAGGTCACAGTTCATATTCTGGTAATGCTTACTACACTACTCTGTATTAAAATCCTTTTAAAAGGCATAATTACCACCAGAGAAATCTCCTGGTTTAGAATTATTTTGCTGTTACCAGAAGTAAAGGTCTAGCTAGCTCTAGCCTAAGAAGGAGGAACAAATAAGTTCTTGATTAAAGATAAAGCTTTTCAAAGTCTCATCTCACTGAAACTTTCCTTTCATTGGCATAAAGTTTGTAAATTTCCAATACGCTGGGAAGAGTTTAAAAACATCAAAAAGTGAAACTTCCTTGCAAGTTTTCTAACTGCTGTAACCAAAAGTTAAAGTGCGTACTAAATTGTTGCAGTTCAGTGACAAAGTAATGAAAAACACTTACTTTACTGGAACAAGCAAATCCAGTTCCAAGAGCTGCCAAAATCTCAAGTACAGCTGGAGTGGAGTTGCACTTTACTGTGTAAAATGGCTTTATCTGAGCCACTACATTCTGCCACTGACTGTGTTTCTTCACAATCTTTCCAAGATCTCCCACAAAAAATGCATTTTTCCCGGTCTATTATGATCATGAAAAGAAAAAAAAAAAAAAAGAAAGAACTATTAAAGATAAGAGTACCAAAAGTAGTAGAGAACTCCCTTTTCCTCCATAAATGAGCCAAGATACACTTTCACATACATTACTATATATAAGGTTTAAGAGTAATTAAAGCTAGATAGAGCAAATACAGGAGAATCCAAATACCGTTTTCTTTTTAAACTTGACTCTTTGCTGTGTTATGCTTGCCTATTAAATATTCTCTTCTTTGCTTTTAAAAAAACCCATCAATTATAGTAACTTTCTACTTTATAACTGCCTCAGTTTGGGGGAGTAGAGGAGAAGGAAAGCACCTGTTTCCTTCCATGCTTTCCTATACTGTTTAAACTACTTTGGTAGTTCAGGACCTAATTTCCTAATACAGTGGGTAGAAACAGGAATGTTAACCAAAATAAGCTATATTATCTCCATTACAAATTGCACATAAAGACAGGATGGTAAAACAAGAAAGCAAGGACACTAAGAACCAATCTTTAAGGAGACAAAGTTGGTAACCTATATACACAGAGGTGGCAAAATTATATTTAAAAAATACATAAGTACAGTAAATGTCAGTTGAACCTGAGTAAGAATATTCTTCAAAACTCAGGTAACAGATTTTAATTAGGGATCTAGGGAAATGTGTAATGATTTTAACACAGCTATTCTAGGGTAAGAGAAATGACTATAACATGTCAGGCAGAGAGACCATAAATTACTCAATGTAATATGGCAGACCAAACAATCTTATTTAGAATACACAACCATTGTTTGCGCTATGAAGACAATATTACTGTTTTCTATTCTTTAATACACTTGAAAATGTATACATTACTGGAACATACTGAACAGGATATAGACATGATTGGAAATTATGGTTTCTGTGTGGCAGATATGGGACAATTGCACTCAAGTTGCCCCATTCTTTAAAGATATGCCATCCCTAATGTTCTAAAGACAGAAAATTTATTTTTACTTTAATATGGAAAAAAAAATAAGACAATTATGCCTACCAGCAAGAGAACTGGGATTTAAGAACAAAAACAAAAACAAAAACAAAAACACCAAACAAGATGTTTAGTTGTAACCACCCTTGGGCCATACAATTAGATGCACTAATTGTGCTAGATCCCCACCGCTAGGAGAGAATAGGGCTGCAAGACTAACCCTCACTGAATGTTATTAAATGTGGGATATTTCAATATTGTTGGACAAGAATGAATGAAAGGAATAGTCTAAAGATCATTATCTGACCCACAGAGAATGTTGCATAAGTTAGAGGACTAAGAGAAGGGGTCGGCAGACTTCCACTAGGAGGTTCCTAGTGACCTGAGAGAAGGAACTACAGGATGGCTTGGCTATACAATAGGCTATACAATATGACAAGTCTCATAAATTTTTTCCTCAAAAATTTTGACAGCAGGGGAAAAGAGATTTGCTGAGGTGTGGGAAGACTTGAGCACATCTGTAAAGGTCAAGAGAAGTACTTTTGTATCCTCTTACTGAACATCAATAACATGAAAATTTTTCAATAAATTTGGAAAAATGGGCCATTAGCTCCAACAAAAAACCCAAATTTTATCAGTAAGACAATAAACAAAAATAGTCCTATTAGTAAGTACCAAACAAAAAAAATCTTAAGTAGCAATATGAGTCAACAGAAGTGGACATCTGGCACAGAGTAAACATTCCAGTGTAAGTTATCAAATTCTCAGCCAACATACATGACCAAAGTTATATAAAATACAAATTAAAATCTACTCAAGCATATAGTTGAGAAAAATGGAGTAAAAAGCCATGTAGTGACTACTAAGAGGACAGCAACATAATCAAGAAAAGAGAACATACAAGAGCTGGGCACAGCAAAGAGTGGTTAGAAAGCCACTCGTTTTAATCTGGGCTGGAAAGAAAACCTCATCATTACCCCAGGGAAGTGGTGGTGTCAAATTAAAGACAACGTAGAGAAGTGAACATCTGAAAAAAGTACTTTCATCAGATTAACATCTTCGAAATAGACCAGTGTTTTAGAATTCAGAAATTTGTAAACACTAAATTTGAGAAATGGGAGACAGCACACTTACCAGGGTGTGCTCATAAACATAGTTATCAATCACATTCCCAAGGTTTGTTCCTTCATCCAACAGGCCAACGGAGTAGTTTGCATCGTCAATAAATCCTTTCATCTCAGCCGTATTCCACAAAGCCGAAAGTCATAAACCAGGAAAAACAAGAGACGGCCACCAAGCCTTATGTCTGGGTCCTTAGAATATGCAACAAACTGTCAAAATAGAAGTTATTTCAAAGTCTGTATTATTTCACTATTAACCTTAATATAGAAGTTATCAATGAAAGTGTGCTAAGTGTCCAAATTAGTGAGGAATCTGTATCACTTAACACTTGCAGAAACACTGGATCATTCAACATCTTTTAGTGCCCATTTTAAAGTGAATGTGTATTTTATACATTTAAAAACCAAGCTCAGTATGACACAGTTTAAGATAATCCATACACGTGCAGTTTACCACCAGTCACTATGGTCAGCTTGTTTACATGCTGTGGTAGACCCAGACTGTATTATTCATCTCGCTGTACGGTTCTTCCATAACACACAATTTTCAGTAAAAACATACTCGTTTTAAGAAAGCTAGTGAAATACTATCTCCCGCCAAGAAGTTAAAATATTAGTCTAAGCTTCAATATACTGCCAGTCACATCCCACAGTATTAATAGGTAACTGCAGATAAAGGTCTTCTAAATTCTACAGTAGGCGCAAAGTCAAGTAACAAATGGATGGGGAGGTGGGTAGAGAGTTACTTTAGTGGACAATCTCTAACTGTCTAGGTCTCACCTCAAGCTAAAATGGTACCGGCTACATCAGGTTAGCAATTCAAGTATCTTATGAGTTAAGATGAGTTAGTGAAACAAAAGTCAGAAAGAACTGGTGGTGGCTATGTCATTTAATAGCTATGTGATCCTAGGTCAAATTCTCTTTACTTCCTGAAAAGGTTGCTGTAAAAACAAAAACAAAAGGTATAGCATACGAATTAAAAAAAAAAAAAAAAAACCACCAAAAAACCCCAGTTGTTCAAACGTGTTGATTCAGAATAGAGCTAAAATAAAGTTGCCAACTGCCAGAAACACAAAAATGCCATCACAATTTAAAACGAGGTACAAGCTAGGCACCTGGTACATCCTAAACCATTTACTAAGAGCTTTAAAGGCAGACTAAATCCAACATCTCTCCTATCAAAGAAATCTTTCCCTCCCCCAAATCACCAATGCTCCCCCAGGCAGCATATACTGAAGAAAGGTTGAGCTTTCCTGAATTCACTGATCCTTAAAGGTTAGCTTAGGAAGGATTTCTTTTAACATAAAGTGTCCATCAGCCAAAGAAGTCCTCCAGACAGGATACTGCTCATTGTCTGGTACTGATTTCTAGTCGCCACATTAATAACGAGCACAGATCAGCCATAGGCAACCTATTTCAAAACTTGCACAGCCTTTCCCCGTGTCCTTGATTCTCCCCTTCCCTCCCTCCAATGCTGTTCTATGTGCCAGTGTTCACTTTCTGTGATGGCCCTCATCTTAAAGGTATACTCCACTTCAGTGGTTCCAAAGTGTCAGCTTTTTGAATGCACCAAAACAAATTCATCAGTAAACCGTAACATTAGTCAGATTCCATGAAATAAAAATACTTTTTTAACTTTTAAAACACTAACTTCATCTCCAAGAAGTCAACTACATTCAGTGTATAGCTCATCAAATCTCCTTCATGCAACAACAGAAACAGAAAAGATGAGGATATTTTTATTTTACCAAAGTAGTTAACTTAGGCATATCTACATTAGACTTTTAGACTTAATACTTCTACAATAAAGTCACATTGTAGCCTGGACATTCTCTAAAGGTTGTTATACCAGAAATGATGTAAACCTGTGCCCAGAAAGCAGACGTTTTAGGCCTGAGGATACATTTTATTTTAAACAACCTAACTCCAGTTAGAGTAACAATTTAGGGGGATATTCAACTAGACACTGAGGAAAATAGAAATGATAAAAGCTACTTATTAAAAAATATCAAATATATGTATAAGAAAGAGTAAAAACTTACAGTTCAGTTTAGCCATCACAAATCTTTTTGGTCAAACAGCTTTCACTTATTCTCTTAATAATGAAAAAAAGATCTTCAGTCTAATTTTTCAGTTCATGAAACGCCTAAGTCTCTATGTAGTATTTACCTGGGAACCTTAAGTTATGAATTATGGACCTCATAGGCAACTGCTGCCACGTGCAAAAAGTCTAGTTTACAGTCACAGTGATATGTTCCTCAATTTCCTATAGCTGCAGTCCTTATAGAAAGGACTAGTATCAGGATCCTCAGTACTTACAAAAACATGCATCTTACCTGCTGAATACCTACATTCTTAACAGCAAACATGTTATGGCACTGTGCCAAGCACTTTTGTAAGAACTTTATCTATACATATTATATCTCTTAATCCTTAAAAAACCCATAATAATGGTATTACCCACATCTGAGCACAAACCAGTTCCAGAGATGCTGATGATCAAATTATGTTTAAAAGGAAAAAAAATCAAGTCTCTCCAGCACCCCATCCTAGGAAAACACAGGATTCCTTTTTTTGGAAATCCAACTTACATATAGCATCAGAACATCCTTTTATGTCTATTCATAGCTTTTTAGCCTTTATGACTATTTTCTAGATTTTAACCTTGCTGTTCTTCTGTATCTTTGGCCTAATTCTCAGGTAAACCCAAATATGAAACCATTTTCTTTTTATTATCCATAATATCAACAATTTACATGAAACATTGTGCAACTCATTTTGACAAATGTATACATCTGTGTATCCACTAACCAAAAGGGTAAGTTCCCTCATGTCCGTTTTGTAGTAAATCCCCAAATCTGCTTCAGGTAACCATTGAATACTTTCTGTCACTATAGATCAGACTTTTGTGGAAGTGAAATAATTTTTAAAATATAACCCAGAAACAAACTAAAACAGTTGACAAATAATAACATGAACTAAAATACCGGAAAGTGTGCCCTGCTGTAACGGAAAGAATGCTGTGGAATTGCTGTACAATTATCATTGAAATGGAACTCTCACTTCAAAAGTAAACACAGTGTTCATTCACCATTCCCTAGTCGATTCGCAAAAAGGACTCAGATGGGAAAAAATATAATTCACTTGTTATACTTGGCAGTACTTAAAGAAAGAATTAAGGGACTAACATACCTAAACCACTAAAACAGATGTAGTACAAGTAATATTATTGGATTTCCTTAATTATACTGAGAACTGCAATAAAACTGTTAAACCAACACTAATAGAGCCTATACATAAAAGATGGTGGGCATAAGTGAGCTCTCTCTCTTCTTAAATGGTCCCCACAGGTTCTGATACTCCCCTATGTCTTAGTTCAGAATAGGTGCTCACAAACAGATGGGACAAAGGACTTCACAACTTTTAAGAATGGGGAGTTCTTAAAGTTAGGGCTGGCTTGTGACAGCAATGAACTCCTTCAACTTCAAAGTGTGTTGAAAAAGATAGTACATCGTTCACATTCTTAAAAGGAGCCCAAAACTTGAGACAAAAGTGACCCGCATATAAACGCAAAGCTCAAATATCAGTTACTGTTAAAAGCTAAAAATTATGCACAGGAAAAACTAATTCCTGTTAAGAATCTACAGAATAAGGCCTTCAGGAGGGAGATTTTCAAACACATCTTAAGTCAACAAACTTTGTTCAAATGAAATGTCACTTGGAAGCCCAATATTTCCCACAACTGAAAAGGCTTAGGTGGTTATCTTTCCTATCCCTAATATCGTGCCTCTCTTACTGAACAAATATGAAAAGTAGTTCATACTCCTACCACCAGGAGCCTTTGCCTAATTTTCTTAACATGTTAGCAAAAAATATTTTAAAGCTCCACTGTCTCAAGAAAGGTTTATGTTCTACATTTCTGCCTTAAAGCACTAAAGAAACATTTTGCTAGTTTTCAAAAAAAAAAATCATTTGAAGTTACTTGGTAATAATACACTAAACCAAAAATCTATGATACGTATAGCATGTTCTATGGACCCAGAATGAAAGTGTGTATGTGTCTTGTGGGTGGGCAGAGTTTATATTGTATACCAGATCGCCAAGTTAATCCACCTCAATTTCAAGCACCACAGGGAATTTCTAGACACCTCTGTATTAAGAATGCACTCAAACCAGGTAATGCCAAACTTGCCCCCAATGCTCCAATCCTAGGTATAATTTCCAACAGACACTGTACCATTTTTTGTGGCTTATTGAAAAAAGAGAGAGAGAGAGAGAGACTGTCTTACTGGCTCCAACACATTATGACCCACTATATACTATAGTCTGGTGCTGCTAGACATTGAAGTATTTACATTAAACTTCAGAATACCTACCCTATATAAAAACCTTAGATTTTCTTCAACTGGAATCAATTCATAAAAGCTCTGAAGTTTATTTTCATCAACAGATACTAGAAGTATTCTTTACTTACAAGTCTTTAAGCCATATTCACAACCGAAAACCTTAACCATAAGCTGTTTATTTTATACTAGTACAAGTGCTGTAATCACAATACTACTTTTGTAAGGGATTTCCTCTGGATATCATAGCTGGGAAGAAAAAAATGTTTAACATTTCTTATTTACACCTTATATTGGTGTTTTTTGGGAATATGTTTTTTATGAAGAGCTGCCAAAGAAACAGAAGGCTCCAAAGAACGGCACTGCTCCCTGGAACCTTCCATGAGGCCGCTGAGTCCTCATGTTCATTGAGAGGGAAGCGCCAAGAGAAGTGGCTGCAGCAGCTGGGCACTTGCCTTGTTACACACCTGCTACAAAGGCTTCTATAGTTGATTGTACTTCAGAAGAAACTGATACATCTCTCAAATAATCACAAGATAATTCTGGCAGCAACAGCCCACTTGACACCAAGCTGGATGAATATGAGTCTTGGATTGCTGAAGTGAAGACCTCCCTGGAAGTAGAACAGGGAGAGCTGAAAGGCTGAGAGTACAGTTTCAGAGACATGTAAGCAGGAAACCCAACCATAATATAGCAACCACTTCTCTAAAAGGACTTTTTACTCATTTAAAAAAATGAGAACTTGAGACATTTTGAAATTACTACTATAAAGAAGCCGAAGAGCACTTTTTTTTTTTACATAGTCAATTGAGGACTTAAATCTCAGCTAACAACTTTAAAAAGACACAATGCTGTTGAAGTCACCTCTGTATCCTACCTGAGGGAAACGTTACTTACCACATAGAATACTTTTAGAAATAACTGGGCAGAAGAATACTAGAAGAGGATTCTAGAGGAGAACTTTGGCACTTTAGATGGGGGCCTGGAGCAGGTTCAAACCACCAAAAATAATGTCAGGAAGCTACATACTGGAAATGGTACAAAGTTCCAATAAATTGTGCAAAGGCCATATGGATTTTTGCCATACCGGACCAAAAATAAGTGATGCAGAATAACAACCTACACTGAGTACTTAGGATAATCAGGACAGAGCATGCTTCAATCAACAGTTAAGTGGAAAGCGAAAATGGCAATAAGCACCCTTATTTTTCAGGTGATAAGGTGAAAAGTAATAAAGGAAAAAAAGGAAACCCTAAATAATCCTAGAAAAAGAATATTATAGGTGACTGCTGAAGAATTATTTTAAAGGACAAGAGTTAAAAATGAACAGGAGGTATTTAAAGGTGGAGGAGAAAAACCCTAAAGGAAATGAGCTCAACAGAGTAAGTTTGAAATGCCTAGGTAAAGGCTGCCCTATGAAATGTCTCACAAAATTCTAAAATACATCTTAATGAGAAAACAAAATACAGGATTTTCATACAATGTGTGTGGAATTGACAAGATTAGTCTTCATTTAAAAAATTCGTCTTGACTATTTGATGTGAAGAAGTTTTTTTCCTGGAGGAAGTGTATGTACCCTCACACAAGTAAAATACTTAAAGGCCTTTTGGTAAGTAAGATGTAGTAACATTAAAGATTACTATAATCCACATGAACAGCAAACTACAACCATATTAACACTTCATTCTTTCTAAGCCTTCAGGTGCAGTACAGATGCAAAATAACTCTTTAAAAAAAATACACTATTTTCATTACTTTAGAGCAGATATCACAGTCACCTCAAGAAGAAAGTTTGTCATTATATATAAAACACATGTGTAATACAATTATTGCAACAAATACAAGGTTAAGAAATAGAATACCCTAGAAGCCGTACACAGCTTTCCCAGGTGGCAGTAGTTGCATCTCCCCTAGAATAATCGTGTTCATGCTTTTCTGATCATTAATTCCCTTGCTATTTAATACTTTTATTATTCTACATGCCTCTAAACCATTGGCTTTTATTGGTTTACTGCTATAAATAGCATCTATTATTCTTCTCTCATGACCGACTTCTTTTGCTCAGCTTTAGTCTCAATTCACCCTTGCCGACAGATACAACCAGAGTCCATTAATTTTCACTGCTATGTAGTACTTTGTGTAGCTATACCATTTATTTATCTGAGCTGGATCTATGGGTTACTTCCCATGTTTTGTTATATTCTTTATATTATTTATGACCTAACTTCTATTATTTATGTACCTAAGGGCACTGCTATTTAAACTGTAGTACAAGAGTCTAGCTTGCTGGCTGACAGTTTAAGTAGCACTGGTCTAGGGCTACATACTGGGAATGGAACTGCCAAGTTTTTAGTGAAAAATGGTCTTCAAGTCTTTTGCTCATTTTCCCATTGTTTTTTTGCTTTTTCTTACTTGTGGGAGCTCTTCTTGAATTTAGGAGAGCAAATACCTCACTGAGGATTATATGGGGATTGTTTTTGTTAGAATGTCCATGTTGAACATACTAAGCTATCTCATCCTACTTTTGGCCATGCCTAACCTAGATGAACTGAAATTCATCTAGAACCTAGAATTATACTTATTTAGGAGCTCTTTAGAGTATCAGAGGGTCCTTGCAGTAAAAAGCCAAGAAATAGACGAAAAACCATATATTCAACATAAACCTAATATCAATTTGTCTATATAAGCACATAAAATCGTAGTAGGAAGTTACATCCTAAAAGCACAGTGAAGAATTAAACTAAAATATAAAACTGAAAAGCACCTACAGTTAAAGGAAATTTTTTATTAAATGAAAGGAGAAAGAATGCGTAATTTTTATGCTTCTTATTAATCAATGTTTTAAGATTATAACATCTAATACTACTCATGTTAACAATAATATTCGATTTGCAACCACGTGGATGGAACTAGAGGGTATTATTATGCTAAGTGAAATTAGTCAGAGAAAGACAAATATATGACTTCACTCATGAGGAATTTGTGATACAGATAAAACATAAAGGAAGGGAAGCAAAAGTAATACAAAAACAAGGAAGGGAACAAGACATAAAAGAGTCTTAAATACAGAGAACTGAGGGTTGCTAGAGGGGCTATGGGTTGGGGGATGGGCTAAATGGGTAAGGGGCATAAGGGAGGACATTTGCTGGGATGAGCACTGGGTGTTAATACATAGGGGATGATGAATCACTGGAATCTACTCCTGAAATCAGCACTATATGATAGCTAACTTGTATATACATGAAAAACATATTAAAGAGAAATGGATATACTAAATATAAATAGTAAATCTTAAAAAAGATTTAAAATTGGTCTGAGTTATAATCCATAACAGTTCACATCAATGAGAAAATAAGACAATGTAAAATATGCACCTATAATGCTGGTTAATATATACAAACGATCTAGTACAGGTGTTTTTCAAAATTGCAGGACCTTAAACTCAGGAATGTCTGTTTTCCAGGCTACAGACTGCTGAATAAAATTCAATTGTTCCTATTAGGAAGAAAAAACCCCAACAAACCAAACCAAAAACTAATAACACCTAGAACAATGCTGTCCAGTAGAACTTTGTGTGGTAAATGCAATTTTATAATTGCCAAAAATAGCAGCCATTAGCCACATATAGCTCCCCAGCACTCACAATGTGGCTCGTGCAACTAAGAACAGAATCTTAAATTTTATTTAGTTTTAACTTTTAAACTTCTCTACCCCCAAATAACTTTGATCAAGAGAAAAAAGATCTATGGGGCGCCTGGGTGGCTTAAGCGTCCGGCTTTCGCTTAGGTCGTGATCTCGCGGTTCGTGGGTTCGAGCCCCGCGTCGGGCTCTGTGCTGACTGCCAGCTCAGAGCCTGGAGCCTGTTTCAGTCTGTGACTCCCTCTCTCTATGACCCTCCCCTGCTCACGCTGTCTCTCTCTCCTAGAAATAAATAAAAAAACATTAAAAAAAAAAAAAAAAGAGAACAAAGATCTATTCACAAGTTTACAAAGCTAGACTGTAAGGGCACAAAAAGTAAAGTAACAAACTCCATAGCAAATTCTGAAGAGAGATTTAAAATGCATGCTTACATAAGATAATGAAGAAAAGGCAAAAACAGTTTGGAGACGGGCATTCAACAAGAGTTATCTTGGGTCCTTTTCTAAGTCAATTATAGACATTTAAGATCTCATCTCATGGTGGCTGAATATGACCCATGCAGGCTGAACGTCATCAGTGTAATCCTTGTAACTCAGTGTGCTGTACAAATATTTTCTATTACTGACATAACATTCTTCACATTATTCATTGGATTAGAGAAAAGGATGGCTAAACCTCTGCTTCAGTTAGGTTGTGACAAATCGTTTAAGTGTGCATGGATGATCCTGGAATGGAGATAAAGGACAGAAAATATTGGTTTCCTATGCCTTACCAATGTGAGGGCACTTTACTTTTGCAAGTAAAGTGTCAGGCTTATCTGAACAATAAGCCAGCCTACACCTGCCTACTATTTACCTAGATTTTACAGTATACAAGGTACAAATAACTTATTTACTCCAATTTGGAATTAAGAGTCTCAAAATTTTGGGGGGCTAGAGGGGAGTCTCAAAAACTCAAATAAGACCAGATAAAAAGAGTTTAATGGAACATACAGATTGGTAGCCACTGTTAATTCTCTTGGCTCAACTGTCTTTTGTAATAAATTTAAGAACCATTTTACCCCTTTTAAAAATTGCTCTGCATTGCTTTTCAATGTTTTTGGTCCTTCCAGAAAAGATTCTAAATTTGCCCAAAGGAAAAAAACTTCATGTTCCCCAAATGCTGTTTTATCCATTAGCATATTTTCACACTGTTCTTGTACAGAATACTTTCCCACTAATTTACACAAGCAGTGAGGAACCATCAAATACTATTTTATGTATGCCAAGGGATACATATGCTTTAAAAACTGATATTTCAAGGATAGCAGTTTTATTCAGCTTTTTGTCAAAGGCACTAACAACTATTAAGGATTGTTCTGTTGAATTTACTTCCATCACAAAGTCTGTTAATTACGAAAACTAAAATTTTTTCCCCATAAGTCAAAAACTTGACTTTATTACTGACAATAGTAATAACAGGAGGAAACAATACTAGTACATTCATACAGATCATTTCTTCCCTAGTTAAAAAAATTCTAATTTAGGTAGGATGGGTACTATTAAGGCATACATAAATATTCCCAATCAGGAGACAGAGCATGAATATTTAAAATGCTGATGACTCCAGGTGCCTGGGTGGCTCAGTTAAGCCTCCGACTTTGGCTCAGGTCATTATCTTGAGTCCTGCATCAACATCTGTGCTGATAGCTAGGAGCCTGGAGCTGGTTTCAAACTGTGTATCTCCCTCTCTCTCTGCCCTTCTCCCACATACTCTTTCTCTCGAAAATAAACATTAAAAAATAAAATGCTGATTATTCTTATGGAGTTCTTCCGTGAACATAGTCAACTAATGACCACCACATAAAATACTTGGAAGTTTTAAGAGCCCATTTAAACAAATCAATTAATTGTAACCTTTTTCTAGATTTAGATACAATTTACTAAAAAGTATACGGTAATGATTAATTCAATGTGACTTCATCACCAGATCAGCTAAAAGCAGTTGGTTAGAAGAGAATTTAGTCTTCTAGAAAGGACTACTTAAGATTTTTCTATCAGGCTTATTAATTATAAAATGGAGCTCTGGCTAAAATAACTTGAGAATCTAGCCCACTGAAAAATCCACTCCAGCATAAAGCCCTAAGGAATTTTTTCTTAAAGGCATGCAAAATTGTTTCCACAATAAGAGGACCTTCATTAATCTTAGATACTATTAGTGTTAAAACACCTGTCAAATATCTTTACAGTGCTCGCATATTACGTCATACATATATTCTAAAAAGGTTTTCAAAGAAAAGCTCTTATGTAACCAACTCTTTAAGTTCCTAAACACTTAATAAATGATCTCAAAATTCAATTACCTGATTTAAAAACCCGTGGAGGGAAATCCTAGAACTTAGACCACCTGCACAGCACTACTGAAGTACTACATTATTCAAATAGAGTTCACCTAACTATATGTTCCGATGCTGTGCAAATGAAAGTATTTTCTACAAAAGCCAGTGTTAAGCCCTTGTAACGACTTGTGGTTTTCCAAACAGTATTGTTGCTCAACAGGATTTTAAATATCCAGTATAACACTATTAATATCTAAGGACCTTTCAGGAATGTAAAATTTTCTATTGCCATTTTCATTAATTCTAGTCAAGAACCTTTGGGGCCAGTGACTTTTCTTAAATTTAAAATTTCCCAGATTTTAGGGGCACCTAGGTGGCTCGGTCGGTTAAGCGTTCGACTTTGGCTCAGGTCATGATATCATGGTTTGTGGGTTCGAGCCCTGTGTCGGGCTCTGTGCTGACAGCTAGCTCAGAGCCTGAAGCCTGCTCCTGATTCTGTCTCCCTCTCTCTCTGACCCTCCCCTGCTCATGCTGCCTCTCTCTCTCTCAGAAATAAAACATCAAAAAAAAATTTTTTAAATAAATAAAATTTCCCAGATTTTAGGGGTGCTTGGGTGGCTCAGTTGGTTAAGTGCCTGACTTTGGCTCAGGTCATGATCTCAGTTTGTGAGTTCAAGCCCCGCGTTGGGCTCTGTGCTGACAGCTCAGAGCCTGAAGCCTGCTTGGGATTCTGTGTCTCCCTCTCTCTCTGCCCCTCCCCAGCTCATGCTATCTCTTTCTCTGTCTCAAAAAATAAACCTTAAAAAAAGTTTTAAGTAACTTTTGAATTTCAGAATGATACATATAAGGGATTGTGGACCTGCAGCTTTGCAGCAAAGCACCAAGTACTAAAGTTTCCTTTAACATAGTATACATTGTATTTGTGCATAACAAGTAAAAATCAGTTACTCTGGCTGCCAGAACCTGCAGAATAAATAAGTGTCTTTAGTATATTCTATCTGTACTCATCTACCCCCAAAGGAGTTAATTATGGATTTTCCAAGTTCACTAGATATTAAATAGAATGCAAAGTTAAGTTTTCATTAAAGAGACTTCAACTAAAAGCCTATCTTTTAATATGACCTTCCTTAAATCATGAAGCTTGTTCTTAAATTACCATCTTAAATCTACTCATGATTCTAATCAACTAGACGCCACCCCAGAAAAGTTAAATCTCCAGGCCAAGAAGGGAGGATCATCAGATATACTAGAATTAGAACAGATGACTAACAAAAATTAAGAGGTAACTGACTTGGTCCTAAGATGGCAGTCACAGTGCTTCTCTTTAATATGCACACAAGCCACCTGGTGAAAATGCATCCACCCAGGTTTGGGTGGGGCTGAGATTCTGCATTTCTGTAGCAGGTGATGCTAATCCCAATACCACACTACATTACAAAGGGGTGGTTAATACACTCAAAAAAATAAGATGTCACTGTAACAGTTTAAGGCAAAAGGGGAACTGTTCTGGCTATAGCTGTGATTTTAAGAATACATATTTGCTCAAACTCATAGCTAAGAGAAAGCCAGTTTGAGGAAACCCTCCGGTCAGGTTTCTAACTCAGTAAAACTTTCAAGAAATATTATATAAACTTATTCTCCCCACTCTTGAGCCTTATAAATGTGTTGAAAAGGTCTGCTTTAACACACTTTAGAGAGAACATTTTTATTTGATACTATCTATTTAACAAAATCAGACTACAGAAACACTAAACTGATAACCTATACTTTCCTGAAAATTTCAATGGTTATTCCAAGCGTCTCCACAACTTAGAAACATCCAAACTTCAGGGCACTTGGGTGGCTCCGTTGGTTAATCACCAGACTCCCAATTTCAGCTCAGGGTCATGTTGGGGAGTTTGAGCCCACATAGAGCCCACTTCAGGTCCTCAGTCTCCCTCTCTCTGTCTCTCCCCTAAGCACGCACACACATGCTCTCTCTCAATGTTAAAAACAAAAACAAAAAACAAAAAAAAAACACTCACAAAAAAAACACCCGAACCTCAAAACCCAAATTTCAATAGCAAGAAACCTAAAATAAATTTAAAACTTTAACTATACAAATTCAGCAGCAAATTTAAACAACAGTTCACTGTGGAGTTGTATTTTGCATAGGTGTTCAACTCAAAAGTAAAATCCACACACAGAAAAATCAAGTACAGGCAAAAACTATTCAAAAAAATCTGTTCAGCAAATAGCATGCTAGTAGACATATCTATCATCTCTCAGCAAGTCCTCTAAAAACAATCATTTTCCTCACCAGTTGAGTATTACATAAAGTCACTTTATAAAACAATTTTAAACTCTAATAATCACTTTATACCTGGCAAGATGCTCATAACTAAACAAGAACTAAGATTCACCTCTCATACACCATGCTGTGAGTGGAATGATAAACAATCTTTTGCTCTATTTAAAGCTGTTGTTTTTTTCTGATTAAGACCAAATACCTGAAAATTTACCAAGTTAAATGGTTGAATGATGGAATTAGCCAACTGCCTGCCTACACATTAAATTACAAAACGAAAACAAAAAAACCTCTCCAACTTATGGTAAAACCTGGGCTAGTAAGATTTACTAAAACTCAGTCTACAGTATGTATTTAAGTAATGTTTGTTATGTGTCCAAAATAAATTTTAAGTGATTCAGTCACTGGTAAACAATGCATATAAAACTGAATCCGTAAACCCTTAACTGTCAAGCCTCTATTTTTTGAGAGAGAAGGAGGGAGGGAGAGAGGGAGGGAGAGAGAGAGAAGGCACGCATATGGAGGGAGGGAGGAAATACTCCAAGCAGGCTCTACTCTCAGCTCAGAGCCAGGGCTTGATCTCACAACCCTGGGATCATGACCTGAGCTGAAATCAAGAGTTGAACTCTCAAACAACCGACTAAGCTACCCAGGTGCCCCTATTTTATAACTTTTAAAAAGCACATTAAGGGTCACTGTACTTTAAGAGGTAAATACAATTTCAAATTCGGAAAAAGATGAAACAACAAGAACTTACTTTACTTCAATTTTACAAGATCCCCGGCACAGATGTGAAAATACTTACATGGACAAGTTAGGAGATGGAACCCCCCTATCATCAGCTAGGTTCCCAAGGTGGCTCAGCGTTGAAGTCGAACTGCTCTCTATACAGCACTTCTCCTAGGCCCTCTGGGTAGTTGTATACTTGGTCAGAAAGTTCGCCCTAAAGAAGGAAATAAAAGTAGTAGCAAACAGTCCTAAATTAAAAACTATGTTACACTGTGCTTCAGGCAAGTTAAATTGATTTATAGATTAACTGTGGGGGTATGTTCTAATTTTTAAAAAGTGTTTCATTAGTCACATTACACAAATAATGTTTTGAAAGGGTTTACCATACTACCAAGTATTTTTTATGTAGTAAAAATTTCCAAGCTCCTGTAGTACAAAATTCAAAGAACTGATATCATGATCTTACCAAGTTGCTTTATCTACCTACTCAGTTTCCAGCCTTCATCCAATTTCATTTTTGCTTTTATTTATCCTCCAAAACCCAAATTTCTCAGTGGACTAAAATTGCAAAATTCCCAAGTACCCTGGTCAACCTAATTTGTATAATGTTCTAGTATGATCTGTAATCTGAAACTACCCAGAACATTTCTTTCACTCTCCAAATCGCAAGTTCTTCTTTGCTTAAAATATAAAATCTTACTACATACCAAAAAGAAAATCTAGGACTTAATAATACATTACAAATGTGAAATAACATTTGAGAATTGCCCTACAGATTAGGCAAGTAACTTGGAAGTTTATACCTCTCTTCCTTATACCTAACCCACCCCGCTAGGTCTCTTTACTATCACAAGAACACACGAATGTGAAAGTGCTTAGCATGTTACAAAAATGCTAAGTTTTAAAAATGGTTATTACCTATTATGGTTTGACTGGATGGACTTTTCTCACCTCTAAACCACTATATCTGTACTTAGAAATCATAATTCAGTGGTTGCTACTTTAAATATAACCGGACAAAATTTGCTAGAAAGGGTGATAAGGAAACGAGAAAAACGATTTAACCAGAGATTATAAGGTTAAGAATCAGAGAAATTTCAGAAGTACTCTAGGCCTATCTAAAGCATCTCAAAACAAAATTTAAAATTTAAAAATAAAGTATCTCACATCTCCACCAGAACAGAAGCTTCCTTGCAGTTCTTTTAATTTACTAGAATATGCTCACATATTCTTGATGAGTCAAGAACCCTTACCAACATGCAACGGTGATTATAGCCTTACATTAGATTCCAAATAATGTACTCAAAAACAAAGATTTTGATTCTTCCCACACCAAGATAATTTTAAAAATAAATTAAAAGTTGACTCATCCTGGAGACAGAGTTTACTCTCAATTATCCTAAGGAATAGGATAATTATTCTGGGTGAGACACACTCATCTGTCCCCCCTTCCATGTATCCACATCCACACAACTGTTTTGCTTAACTCAAGCCGAGAGCAGTGATGTAAAATACCAAGGATAGTACACTTCAGACATTCAAAAATGTTCATCATTTCTACATTTCCATCTAACAACAACAAAAGAAACTAGTAGGAAATGAAAGCCCTAAAATATGAAAAGCACATTTTAGTAAAATAAAAGGGGTATACTGGGTAAAAGGGCCATTTACATACAGGATAAATACATGTACAGTTAAATCAAGGAGTTAAATGAAAATGTGGAGAAACAGAGGTACAGGAAAAGATAAATTTTCCTCATTTAGAATAGTATGTGTAAGTCAGTTGGATCACGAACAACACTGCAATCAAGTTCCTTAACTGAAGACAAGATCTCTTGTTACATCTAAGTGAACAGCATCAGAACTAGCCCTGACTGGTCAGCAGGAGATCACTACCACCAAAAACCCCAAAAACCTCCCATCACTTTTACAGTACTATCCCAAAGCCTAGTACCCCCAAATTATCAGTATTTCTCTGAATAAAACACATTGCATTTACCAATGACTTTTAAAGTTGCTATGTGGTATTCTTTCCAAAAACCCCAAACTCCAGTGCAATCATGAGAAAAATATTAGACAAGGCCAAATTAGGCGACATCAATTGGGTATCCGGCCACTACTTCTCTAGGCTGTCAAGGGCATGTAAAACAAGGTTAAGAAACTGTCACAGATCAGAGAGAACTGGGAAAGGTAGGACAACTAATGTAACATGATACCCTGGATTATCCTGAACAGAAAAAGGACATTAAAAACTGAGGAAATTCAAATAAAGCCTAGAGTTTAGTTAATGGTAATGCAAAGTCAGTTTCTTAGTTTTGACAAGTGTACCACTGTAAGATGCTAATAAAGTGAACTGCGTGAGAAGTATGCAGCTGTATGCTATCTTTACAACTTTTCTGTAAATCTAAAATTATTCCAGTTTATTTTACAAAATCAAAGTACTCCCCTAATCAACTACCACTAAGAAATAAAAGTAACAATCTACTGATACATGCACTTCCAATGGATATCAAAAACATGCTGAGTTAGTTTCTCACAGAAAAGAATGCAAAACAGTACAATTTCATTTTAGACAAAGCTAATCAGAATCCTGGTTGCCTCTGGAGAGTGGAGGGACGGTATCTGAAGGGGCAAAAGAGAACTTCCTGGGGTGGGGCCAACGCTGTCTACATCTTGATAGGTTTGGTTTACACAACTCTGTTTTGTCAAAACTCATCAAATGATATACTTAAAAATCTGTGCATTTTAAGGTTATGTGAATTTTATCCAAAGATTTTTTGGGGGGGGAAGAAATAAACAGTATTAGGCTACGATATATGCTCATGAACTTAAGTTGGAAGGGTTAAGTGTTCTGGTGTCTCCGACTTTGAAACACATGGGAAAATGAGAAGGATTGATGAATGAATAGCAGGATGGCAAAGTAAAACGTTAAATAAATCCAGGAGAAGGTATAATTCTTTCACCTTCCCTGTATGTTTGAAAATTTATTAAGTTAAACGTGAGTGGCACGAGAAGGCACTGATTTGATTACTACACCTATTATATCACCTGTATTCATTAGAAGCCTATCCTCCTACTAAATGTAAACCCCTCAGGGGTTTGCTTTCATGACCAGCATCATCTGCACTCTGACATTTGCAAAAAACTAAAGGATTAGGGTCTAGCTCGACAATCATTAGCCCTTTTGCTGCCAGATTACACAGCACTTCCCTCTCCCTTAAGGGTCTTCAGATTTGCACCCAAGCTTAAAGGTGGAAACACAACGAGGCAGACAACACCTTAACAGGTCCGAGGTGCCACCACAAAATACAGTTAAGTCGGAACATCAATGGAGCTGTAAATTGTGTAACCGACCTCAGGTATCCGAACCAGCAGGTTAGCTCAAAAAACATACGCTCAGAAATATTTTGGGCAAGAGTTAAAACACGTCACCATCATTCCCGTTGGCAGCCAAAATAGTACTTGATAAGCCACCGAAGCCTACGGTTCTCCCTCTTACTGCCCAGGAATCGTGGCGCGGACGGGAAAACGGAGCCATGGTGACTAATCCTCAGGCTCCAGGAGGTGACTGGGGTGAATGAAGGCAATTTGGTCCAATCAGGAGAGCCGCAGAGGGCGGAGCAGAAGCCCCGAGGCTTCCAGAAGGGGCCAAGGGCCTCACACTAGCTACCTGACACCGGGGCTTCCCTGCCTCCGGGCCCCGAGTGGCGTCAACTTTCCTCCACCAGAGGGGGGCCGCACTCCCCGCACCCCCAAGAACCGGTCCTCCTCCGGCAGCTGTCACAGGAGGCCGCCGCCGGGCCCGCCCCGCTCCATTCATAACCCAAGGCCCCGGCCGTTGCAGCCCTTCGCGCCGCCCGCGGGGATCCGGGAGAAGTCGCAACGCGGCTGTGGGCCGGGGCTGCCGGACCAAGGCCCCTCAGGGCTGCGGCCCGGCCCCCTCCCCGGAAACAGCAATGCACCACGGGAGAGGGGTGGGGGCCGCACGCTGCCGGGAGACGGCGCCGAACCCCCGGCAGAGACCCCCGCGAGCGCCCCCACACGCACACGCCCCCTCGCCTTAACCGCGACGGCTCCCGGCTCCGCCGAGCGACAGGCGGCCGCCTGAGGGCCCCGCGGAACGCCCGCCACCCCAGCCGGCCGCGCCGCCGCGGAGGTACCGGCCGCCGCCACACACCGCCGTCCGCCATATTCGAGGCCGCCGGCCGCGGGGCGCTGCGGGGCCGCCAGCCGAGTGGCGGGGCCCAGGCGGGAGGCACCCGGCAGCTCCCCGAGGCCGGCCCCGCGCCCCCACGCCCCTCGAGTCGGTACTCACGTGAGATAACGGCCCAAAGAGTCGGGTAAAGCGTCTTCTCTTTTTCGGCGGAATTTTTAAAGAGGGATGTGGTTACCTTGAGCAGAAATACCCAAGGCGGCCTGGGCCATAGGCTGCGGGGACGACGTAGGGGGAAAAGCGCGGCACCGACACCAGCTGTGCAGCAGTGGCGGCGGCGGCCGAAGGGGAGAAACAGAACAACAGCGCAGGTAAAAGAATGGCGAGGACTGGGTGGGGAGAGGATTCGGCCTCGTCACACTGCAGAGCCGTGGAACGAGAAAGGATGAGAAGAGGCGAAGAAGGTGGAAAAAAGGGAAACACTGCGGCGGAGCGAGGAGCCAGAGTGTGTGGGAAGGCGGTGCCGGAGACGCCAGTATTTATAGTAAGTGGGCGTGGTCTGGTGACGTCACAGCCATCCGGGCTGCCGCGCGAGTGGGGCGGAGTCGGGCTGAGGCCCGCGGCGAAGGGAGGGAGCGGAAGAGAAAGGCGTGAGACTCGGAGGGGGCGAAAGGGGGCGGGGCGGGCGACCCCGGGTGCAGGTGCCGACAGCCTGGTGGCTTCCTGCCCTCCCGCCCGGCAGCAGCTCCTCCGCGCGCCGAGGTCCTGACGCGCGGACGTGGGCGGGCGAGGGAGAAGGGACGCGGCTCCGCCGCTGTGCGGCGTGGCTCCGCGCCTCCACCCCTCGGGCGCCTGTGCTCACGCCCGTGGCTGGCCCCGGCGCAATGGGAGTTGGGCCCGGGTCTCTGCGGGCCGCGACACTGCGTTGTGCTGGGTCTGGGGTGGTGGCACGCTTGCACTGCCTGGAGAGGCTGTAGGGGAGGCCTGTGAGGGCCTTCGCCGGAGCGCCCACCTCGAGGGCGCTACGCTTTTTGAGGGTTCCATAGGCTATGCCTGGGGACCGCCCTCCTAGGGCGCTCGCAAGATACCTCGGTCCTTTCTGGAAACGAGTTCCTAAGGACCAGGATGGATTCCTAACTCCAGCGTTGATGAGGTTACAGAACCTCGTGACCCCACGAAAATGTCCCTAGTGCTTGTATGTTACAATATGGTGCAGTAGAATTTTTTTAAAGGAGCGTAGCCTCTACGACCTCATTGAAGGCAGTCACACCCAATCCTTATTAATCAGGGAGCCGATGCTGGGGAGGGGATTACTGATGTTAGAAATGCATAGTACTTTAATCCCGCACGTCTCATTTTCGCAGTCATTTTGGTTTTACTACTCCATAACAAACTTTTTTTTTTTTTTTAACTGGGGAACCTAGTACGACCTACATAGCTTTTAATTTATTCTGTCTTTTAAAGATGTCTTTATATTAATGATCAGAAATCTTGAGTCTTCCCGTGCTTGCTAACTCCATGCAACTCAGAGTCAATGACACAAATGAAACACGCATTTACATATCCCTTCCAAGTTAACATCTATTAAATTAAGACCTTGACTTTTTTTTCCCTTTCATTCTTCCCTACCATCTATTTTGTAAGCAGCACTGTGGTTGGTTAATAAATCCTAAATTGGGAAAGAAGAGAAAGAGCCTTCCTGGGTGGAAAGGTAGCAATGCTGAAATATGGGTTTTTCTAAGAAAATTTCAATTTCAGTGGAGTGTGAGGCACAGAAGTGAAATTTGAGTGAGGAGCAGCCGATGTGAAGTCACCAGATGTTAACCACTCTTTCAAGTGGAAAGTACTGGACCTGAGCCTGATTCAACATTATTTATACCATGAAGCAATTCAACAACCTATTATTCAAACTACATGCCCTGATGATTAGTGTTTGTGTATTCAGAATTAAAGAATAATGCAGCTAGCATTATTGTATTTTTTGTATTTGATGAATACAATAGAACCTTAAAAACTATACTGCAATGGACTAGCCAACAATGGACTAGCCAACACAGTGTGTAACCTTAACAGAATGATAGCTTCCTAATGAGAACGGCATATTTAATTGTGTTTGGGGTTTGAGGTTTTAGGATTTTTTTTGCCAAGTCAGGTTACTCATATACAAAAACACAGATAATGCCAGGGAAAGTATTATTATTAAACAGAGAGCCCTAAGATAAAATGATAGAGTACTATTCACACTTAGATCATCCTGGCCCATCAGTTCATCCTCATTTGCTTTTGTGCCAATAGATATAAAAGATGGAATGAATTAGATTTCTGATAAAGACAGGTCACTCAAAAACAATAGGTATACCTAAAAATGCCAGCCTATAATAGAAATATCTTGTCATCACAGATAAATGTGACAAAGGTAAAGAGTCCCATTGTAATCGAAGGTAAAAATACCAGTTTAATGGGAATGTTTAAAGGGAGCTTAATAAATATTTTTATTGCTAAGGTAATTCTTACAGTATTCCTTATTATACAGAAAACCAAAATATATAGGTTTTGTTTTGGGTGGTGCTTTTTTTTTTTTTTTTTGAGACTTTTAAAGTTTTAACATGAAGTTTTGCAGGAAATAACACTCTTTGAAATTCAAGCATTTTAAATGTCTTAAATTTATTATTTCTTTTAAATATATTTAATGTTTATTTATTTTCAAGAGCGGGGATAGGGCGGAAAGAGAGGTAGACACAGAATCTGAAGCAGGCTCCAGGCTGTCAGCACAGGGCTTAAACTCACGAACAGCAAGATCATGACCTGAGCCAAAGTTGGCCACCCAACGACTGAGCCACTCAGACGCTCCCAAATTCAAGCATTTTAAAGAGTACCTTGTAAAAATAATATTTTCAAATATCATGTCAATATATGTCAAATATAGTCATTGACATGACTTGAACTCATGAACCCAAGATCAAGAGTCACATACTCTTCTGACTGAGCCAGCCAGGTGCCCCTAAAACATTCACATTTTAAAACATGATATTTTGGTTATCTACCATGTTTTTTAGTGCACTGATAATCTTCTAAAAAGCTAACTTACTTTTCGAGGACCTGGTGCTATGGCTTTTATGGACTGGTATAAATGGCCAAAAGTGTTTCCAAATTACTTTGCAGAGTATAGAGTTCAGATTATATAGATTATATACCATTCTCTCCTCGAATGGAATAGGTATAAGGTGCTGTCCTTCATTTGCTAAATATCTGTTGTTAAAAATCCTATAGAATTGTAATTCCTTTACCCAGGTTGATTTTTCTCCTCAGATGAGAAATCACTTAATTTGAAAAGGCATCTTTTTTATTGTCATGTTTAATTTTTTTCTCACAGAATTTAGGCACCAGGTCAGTAGGTTTCTGCTGCATTCCAATCCATGTGCCCTGCATCCCAGTGCTGACTTGAAGTTGCTGGTGTCAGTCATCCATCTTTGTCAACAGAATAATTTAACCTGTAGAATGGTATGCCTGGGAAACAAAGAGTGCATTAGCCATGTATGCCATTAGATATGGGTCAGCATTTTACCTCTCCCAAGTGACTTAGTTTCTGCGATAAGCAGGTCATAAGCAATACACTGACGTCTTTCATTACAAATGGAAGAAGTAACAGATTACTCACTTAATTTAAGAGGACTGCTTCAGAAACCTATGTAATCAGCCAAAGCAATAATCCAATTTTACCAATTATATGCAACATATATGACTAGAATAATCAGTGGACATAATCCATGAGTTTGTTCTCTTATGCCTTTTTTTTTTTAATGTTTTATTTCTTTTTTTTAAACATTTTTTAAATCTTTATTTATTTATGAGAGAGAGAGAGAGACAAAGTGTGAGTAGGGGAGGGTCAGAGAGAGAGGGAGACACAAAATCTGAAGCAGGCTCCAGTCTCTGAGCTAGCTGTCAGCGTGGAGCCCGACATGGGGCTTGAACCCACAAATCATGAGCTCATGGCCTGGACGCTTAACAGACTGAGCCACCCCAGCACCACCTGATCTCTCATATCTTCATCTAATCCTTGGAAGGGAAGAAATCCTTTGAAATGTAACTTCATTGTCACTTTGCTGCCAGGCATTACCTGATAACAAGTGTTTTATTTGTTAGGTAATGTGTAGCAATAAAGGCTTGTATCCCTCTGTCTCAAAACAGCTGTTAGGCGGATATTCTTAAACTTTTTGGTTACAGGCACAGAAATTTCATACAGCTCTGAAATCTATTCTTGTCCAGTTTGATTTATGGTTTACTTTTTTTCTTTAATAAATAACCTAGCCAAGGTGCTGTCACATGAGCACTTACATGATTGTTAGTAACTGTAAGCTACATTGTATTTAACAAGAATTTTTAAATCACTTTGTCATTTGAAGTTTTACAATTTCCCTTATAAACATTTAAAGCATTCTAAATTTGCTTTATCTAATATTAACTAGAAGGAGAAAAATCCATGCAAGAAATACAATAAAACTTTAGTTCTTTACCAAAATAGGGAGAAGAAATAGAAATGACTTGCTTTCACAAAAATAATTAATCTTTTGTGCCATTCACTCATCTATTGTATGACAATAGTTTAAAAACCTTCATTTAGTCTTGGCTCTGCTTGGCTAAATCACTTAATTCTAAGCCACCTCTATTTCTTTTACAAAATGTAATCCAGGGGCGCCTGGGTGGCTCAGTCAGTGAAGCGTCTGACTCTTGATTTCAGCTCAGGTTGTGATTTCACGATTTGTGAGTTCAAGCCTGGCGTCTGGCTCTGTGCTGATAATGCAGAGCCTTACTAGGATTCTCTCTCCCTCTCTCTCTCTGCCCCTCCCCCCTCAAAATAAGCAACCATTTAGAAAATTGTATTCCTTTTCCTTTGGAAGAACTTCTCCCCTGCCATCCCCTGAGTTCTTCTGGTAACTGTCATCTTCTTAACCCTGACCTCCCAAGCCACAGAAACTGGTACAAGAGTTAACTGTCCCCCATCACTGGGGGCAGGGACAGCTCAATAATCATTGGTACCTATTGGACTCAGACCATTCTCTCCTCGGTTGGAAGAATGAGGACTGGACGAGGAAATAATTTTTTTTTAATTTTTATTTTTTATGGCTCAAGTTATCCATATGAGCCCGGAGTTGCCAGGAACCACGGCCCCAGAAGAAGTCTCTGTGAGAAAATGAAGCCAACTCGTATGATGAAGAAGGGAGAGTCAGCATTTCAGTTGTCCCGTTTTTCTTGCTCTTCAATTATACCAAAGAAATCTGTCTTTCTTGACTAAGTCATAGCTTTCTGTCACTTACAACCCAAAAGCCCAGACCTACACAAGAGAAAAAAAAGATCTTCATTTCATTCAAAAAGTCAGTTGCACAAGTACAGGACAGGAGAGGCCTGATTGTTCTCTATCTAAGCAGCACCTAGAGAAGGGAGTCAGCCACAAGCTTGCCATGGACCAACAAAGGCATGGAATTGCTCAAAGCAAAACCAAAAATCTGAATGCGGTAA